ACAACGTAAGGATGGTAGACCACTGGATGTTGATTCTGCCAATGCAATCGTAAGATTCCTTTTTTTATTTAAAGTTCTGAATTGGGAAATAGTTTAGGAAAAAACATAAAAGCGAATAAATGAATTCCAACTTGGATTTATGTATTCTGTGGTCAGGAAATGATAAATGAAAGGATGAATAATAGTGAGAGCTCTACTGATCAACCTCCTCGCAGTGTTGCTTGGGAAGGCGATGTATATTCCCAGGTGTTCGGAAATGACAAAAGTGGGTATGTTCGTGGTTTAGGACTTGGTCCAACTCCTTCTATGCTATGGGGTAGTAGATCTTCCTTAGGAAATATTATTGTAAAGGATTCATCTAATGAGGCCGTACAAAGGTTAACACAGGAGATAACCGAGTTAAAGGATAAACACAATGAAGAAATGAATCTGATGAAACAAAATCAAGAGAAGATGCAATCAGAATTACTCTAAATGAGACAATTGATGCGCAAATATGTTTTTAATGAATCTATGCCTCAAAATATCAATGGCACCTCAAGTGAACAGGTAACTCGATTTTCAGAAGTTATAGGCATTCTTAATGAAGTTTTAATCCTATAAAACGAATTGTAATCTAATGTGTTAATATTTATTAGGTCCTTGACGCCAACAGTGGCCATGAACGAGTACCACAAACATCAAGGATACCTAGTGTTGCTGAAAATACTTCACTGTCTCAAGGTACTACTCATCTTTATCCTTCGGTGCTACTATTTGAGTTTTCTATTGTTTGAATTTTCCTCCAATTCTTTTATCATTAGAATCTAATTTCATGTAAACTTGCAAGAAATGGAAACAAGATATAGTTTCAACTTATATGCTTCCATAATTCGATTGTAACTTTATCAGTTTTAGTACCATTTACATAAGAGAGCAATAGATAATGAAATAGCAGTCATGAAACTGAGGTCTTCATACACCATTTGAAGCACTGGCATGTTTTGTAAAGTAAACACATGACAGATGACTTCTAGCAAGTATAATGCTATGATATATTACAAACAGGGCAACTCGAGTTCCTTATTCGAATTGTGATTCCCCCGCGACTTGTTTGAGTTGATGAA